ATTGGGTGCACACATTCTTACATTCAATCTTTCTCCTTCGTCCCCAGCTCTGCCTCCAGGAAGAAAGGACTTTTCAACAGAGATGACTGGTGTTCCATTTCTCCCCCACCCCCTCGCATGTCACATTTGTCATTAGATTGAGGTTTTTTTTGTTGCCTTTCGCCGATAAGTATGGTGGCTTTAGGAGTTTCTCCTGGATTGAACTAGCAGTCTAGCTGCAGTGCAGGTGCAAATGCAGTGCTGTTAGTTCTAGGTGTTTGATGGCAGAGAGAGTCATCTCGAGGTTCCTATCTGAGTCCAATTAATGCTACAAACCAGAAAGAGCTTTTCAATTTCCCTTCTTTCCACAGTTGGTTTCACCCTAATCCCAGCATGGGTCAAAAGATGACGATGAGGGGGTCAAATGGACTGCAGCAAACAGATTCGGTTAATTTGATTGCAACCCTCGTGCCTTTTCAACCCGCTCCGAAAAGACCAAAAGCTGCAGCAACTTACGACAAATGCACATCTGCAAACGTTACAGCTCCTGCTTCGAACTTTAAGGGGTGGCCTGTGCAAAGTTGGGGGGGAAATCGCTTAGTTTCAATTGTTTGTTTGGGTCACAGTGGTTAGGATTTTGCTGCTATTCTATTTTCAAAGAAATTCTGACGGATCCTATTGATGTTTATTTTCACCTTTTTTTAATTTTAGGGATCTTTTGGACTAAAATAACAGGTTGTAAAGTCACGCAGGAAGTGGCTTTAGCGATGCTCCCTGCGCAAGGCAACCCTGCACAAGGTGCGGAAAGTGATGTCCTTGTTGACCTTACGTTGGCATTTGGATGTTGGCCATTTTTGTAGTTCAAAACGATAACAGCAAATTATTTTTAAAATACTCAAAGTTTAATGATGTGGATTTATTTTCCTCGATTTGGAGAAAACTGAAAGACTCCAACGAATACCAATTTTTAACAAGAGCGTAATAATAATCTTTGCATTTGATATAGCACCTTATCACTTCTTCGAGACGTCTCAAAGAGCTTCACGGAATACACTATAAAGTGTATTGACTGTATATTATCATATAATCATACTGCGAACCCTGTGGCTGACATATCGGTGTGGAGAGAGAACATTAATTGCATGAGGAGCAGTTTGCCTTGCGCCAACTTTTATTTTTTTTAAAAAAGCAATACTGCACGTTTTAGAGCATGTTTTTTGCAGAAAATAGTCTGCAGATCGCACGTACAATAAAGCAGTATATTAATAGGATCAGGGTCAATGCGCAAAGGATGGTTGCTCGTGTTTTTAGTTTATTTGCGAGTCATTTTCGAAGAGGACCGTCAAACTTTAGAATATGGCTACTTTTGTTCCTGAATTTATATTCGCTTCTTTATGAAGGTTAGCCTGAGGCACAAACCATCAGAGAACCATCTGCCTGGGGGGAGGAGGGAGTGGAGGGGGCAGTCCGGTCCGAGTGTGACATCTGGCAGTGCTGGGCTCCATATCCCTCCCTGAACTCCAAACAGAGGTCCGGCCCTATGTATTGATTGAACCAATACCTTGGGCGCCCATCTGGTACAGAAGAAATACCCGAGGGAGGGTGAAAATTCTGAAGAGAGGGTTCGAAGATGACCTTCGTGATGCCAACATCTCTGTAATGGACATTAAGAGGACAAATAGCCAGATTCTGAGGAATCTATAGCCAAGAGAAATGAGTTAGAGTACTTAGGGCACATCCACCCAGAGACCTTAAGGTCTCATCATGCTTCTAGGGCAGTCCTATCCCTGTAGGCATCTGCCAGCCTGCCTTTGTTGGTGAGGAGGACACTGAAGCAGGTGGCTTAACCCAAACCCTAACCTTACAAAGATAACTGCAATTGTTTTCACCCGCAAAATACACAGTCAATTCACTTCACAGTATATTCTGTGAAGAACTTTGAGACGTCTCAACGATGTGGTAAGGTGCTATATCAAATGCAAGGATTATTATTATTATAATTTGGGTTATCAAGTAAGTGCCATGGACAAAATCAGCATGAACTAGGCAAGCTGAGGATCCAATTCAAAAATAATTCTCAAATCCAAAGCCTCGTCTTCACAACTCTACAAGTAATGGGATATAGGCTAAAGATAACATATTTTGACTTGGGTGTAAGGCATTTCTGTAAAGTAGGGGGTGTTTACCTAGTTACAGTGGGCTATCAAGTATTCTGTATAAATGGTCTAAGATGCCTGAACCCTTTCCCTCTCCTCCCACTTAGCAAATATGATCTCTGTTTAGTGATGTATCTGTCTGATGGAACTCAATTGCCAACCAAGTCATTACATGCCAAGCTGAACTACACTGAAGGAAGACAGTAATTGTGCAGCAGTAGCCCTGGCCGTAATTCTACCTTAATAAATTGGGGAGAGATTTTGAAGCAGTGCATTGAGACAACGTAAGAATTGAGTGTGATATGAGATTCGCCCATTTTTGTAGCTTCTGACAGGTTATGTATTATCGTTCAGGAAACTCGAGCCCAATCCGATGAACAGTTGCAACTCTACAGTAACTACAGTATTCAGTATACAACAAAAACAACTTGCACTTATATAGTGCCCTCCACGCAGAGTAACGTCTCAGAGTGCTTAACAGTGGCAGAGTTTGTACAGTGGTTACTCAGAGGTATACAAAAAGTTACACATTACTAGATGTAAGTAAATTGTATGATTGTATCCAGCACTACTTGTCGATCAATAACCACAAGTAGAAGTTCATGTCAACCCTTTCTCTGATAAGTGTCTGTTTCGAGATCTACAAAGTTTTTATAGTGAATACCCCATTGATGGTAAGGTGCAAGTGGCACTATAATTCACTTCAAGAGCTTAAAATGCAACATCACGTCTACTTTGCTTGTTTGTACCCTGATTTCAAGGATTAAATAAATGTCGGTGCTCAGGAAAGGATCGGAGGCCTGAAATACATCATGCACTTAACCTGAAAACCACTGTTTTACAATGCAAGGTGGTAGAGATTTTTGGAAAATTCTTGAAATTAATTTCTCAATTTGGAATGAATTTGCGTGTCATCCGAGCTCAGTTGCTAGAATTCCCTCCCACCGAGTCAAAGAGTTATGGGGACTTTGAGCTCACAGTCTATGCTGACACTGCAGGGGAGCGCTGCTATTATTCGGGGGATAAAGATTAGAAAAGTCCTGTCTCTTTACAGGTTGTCCCATGGGATCTTTAACATCCACCTGAACAGGCCCCGGGCGGGATATTGGTTTGACTTCTAAATCCCCAGCACTGCAGTGGAGCATCAGCCTAAACTGTGAGCTCAAAGTCCCGACATGGGTCTCGAACCCACAATCTTGCGACTCAAGAGTCGAGAGCACTACCAACTAAGCCAGGCTGATTCCTGCCCTTCCTCCCGCCCGACATGGGATACTCCACTACCATATGGCACTTCTGGTGCAGTGCTGGCTGCCAGTAAACTGACAAATCTCACTCAAAGCAACCTTGAGTGACAAGTAGCCCTAGGATTTGACCCTCGGACCTTTCAATTGGGAATCGAGGCCCTGAGCCATCAGGTCAAAGGCACGTTTCCGAATCTTCAGGGGGAAGGGTGTGTGTGTGCGTGCGTGTTTGTGTTGGGAGCTTTGCAAAATGTTAACGTGATTTGCAATTTTTTGAAAAAGCACACGGTTCGAAAATAAAATTCCGGTATTAAAAGGCAAGAAGACACAATTGCATAAGGTGGCAACAAACAAAAGAAGTTGCCCGCTGTGTAATATCCTATTTACAAGCAGTCCAATACTCGGACACTTCACGGACAAAGATATCTGTCATTTATTTAATTATTCGAGGCTTGCAGGAACAATCTGCTGTAATTTTTTTTAAAGCTACTAATCCGTCTGTTAGCACAAGGGTGTTTATCAATTCGCTTTTCTGCCACCCTTTTAGTGAGACGTCCGCACGTTTGTGTAACTGAGCCCAAGCAATTTGAGCTCATTCCCCCGCATTCGGGTTCAGAGACGCGAGACTCAGGTAATGTCGCTGAAACTCCGATTCCATTGACATAGAAGGAAAACTGGTGTTTTAAGAGGATATAAACCACAACTTTCTTTTATCCTAATCTCTCGTGGTCCGGGCTTTCAAAGCGAATTCTTCACTCTCCCGAGGTAATAATCCCTCCACAGATACTAATAATAATAATAGTAATAATTTGGTCGCTCGATCCACGACTGTTTGTGGGACACTGGCTGTGCGCAATTGGCTGCCGCGTTTCACCCACAAAATATACAGTCACTCCACTTTACAGTGTGTTCTGTGAAGTGCTTTGAGATGTCTCAATGAAATGATAAAGCGTTATATCAAACTCAAGGATTATTATTATTATGATTTCTGAGTCTCATTAAGTGATCACTTCGGTCAAGGGAGTTTCTGTTAATTACTGTCCGAGCACATTGGTGATGAGTTATCCAAGAGGTGGGATCGGAGGTGCTCCTGTGTCGGAGAGAAGCTGCCAGACATTGTTAGAGCATAGCTGCAGGGAACTCGTGTGCATATGCTGAGATGCTATCAGCGGGGCTTGAGGTAGAGCAGCATCTGTGCTGATTGTTAGCTTCTATTATGTTACCACAAAGAGGAAAGATTGGGCTTTTTTGTTTAAAAAAAAAGTTGAGTTCAGTCTTTTTTTGTAATATGAAAAAAAAATCAGTGTGGAAATGATTTTTTTTAAAAAACAGAAATATGCAGAATTGTTTGCAATTCAATTTTGCTTTTATTTGACCAAAATCCATAGAAACTTTGGGCGTAACATTAAACACTGGCCCTGCGGAAGAAAAGATGTCCAACAAGAACAACAAATTATGTTTGTAGAGCGCCTTTCAAGTCCGCAAGCGCTGAACGGATGTCCACAGACTACTATTGTTGGCCTTTGTCCAGTGTTTATATCGTGCTTTTAAAAAAAAGTATGTAATATATAATACGTATAGTGTTAATTGTTGTGATTTGTTTTTGCCACTTTTTAAATTGCAGTTCGCGTTCAGTGTCCTGCCCGTGAAGACGAAATGGACAGACAGCGCCATCCACGTTCTGCTGTTTGACGTTGATGCTATTTGCAAGCAGCTGCTTTCTCACCAGGAGCAGGGGCCCAAGGGGCAGAGCTCCTCACACGGGAGCAGCGAGGTGCTGAGGAGGATCACCAATGCCGACGGGAAGAAGCCCCCGCCGGCCTTAAAGAGAAGCAAGCCTGCCCCCGTGTGCCAGGCAAACGGGCCGGTGAAAGATTTGGTTCAGGAGCATCTGTTTTGCAACGAGGGCAATGCGAGCGCGTTGGCGAGTGAAAGCGTTAACGTCAGTAAGCAGAAAATCAAGCCCAAAGGGGCTAAGAAGACGAAACCGCCGGTGGTGAAAAAAATGGACATCAACATGACCACCGATACAGCTAAGCTGCTCATTTCCTGCCTCTTTCCCTGGGGCGTGGACCGAGACCTTGACGAGCTGTGCGTTAAGCATCTGGGCTTGTTTGAGCCTCGCTGCCCAGTGTCCTTTGGCCTGGTGTCACAGGATGATTACCTGTCCCTCCTCTTGCCAGGCTGGCACCAAGTGAATCGAGAGGCGCCGAAGGAGTACTCCATGTGCAACAAAATCTCCAGCAAAGTGGAGGAACTCGCAAGGCAGGTCTTAAACATGACCAGGATGTGTGTCGTCCTCCCGGCAGAGGAGACCCTGAGCAAAGCGGATGGAAACTTTCAGCCAGAAGCAACGTCCTACTTGCTATCTGTCATCTTGCTGGTCAACATACAGATGAGAATGCCTTTTCTGTCCAAAGGGAATGAAAGGCATAATAACACAGTCAGGTAAGGGAGTTTTCATCCAGCGATGGACTGAAGTTTATAATGGTTGACTGTTATCATGCACTATAGTACGCTTTATTCTAGGAGAAAGGCATCTTTTGATATGAACCTGTGTGTGAAAATATAAGTGTGCGGAGCAAATGGGAATTCCGATACAAAATAACATGAGAAAATACACAGTCGCGAGTGAATCTTTGCAGTGAATCCTGCAAATCGGTTAGAGATGTCCTCCCAATGTGAAAGGGGCTATATCAGATGTAAAACAGAATGTCTCGGAAAAACAGCGCCAAGAGGGAACCCAAACTGTGCATAGAATGAAAAGTTAACATGGAGAATGTAACCTCTGCATGTTTTTTGATGATGATAATGATGATGATGATGATGATGAGACATGAAGGAGGGAGTGAGAGAAGGCACCAGTGCACACAGGTAAATGGCATCCTTTGTGCATTCTAACCGTTTCTTTCAAGACATTTTGCCCACAAAACACACAGTCACTACACTTTACAGTATATTCTGTGAAGCACTTTGAGACGTCTCGAAGACGTAATAAGGCGCTACATCAAATGCAAGGATTACTATTATTATTACTACTATTTCCATGATTTCTAGTTGCTTTATCTGTGTAAAAAGCAGAAGCAAAGGAGACAGAACAAGGCAGCAAATTGTCCCCTTACACTGCTTGGTCCAGTGTGTGTTCTCCACCATGAGCTGGCGAGAGCACTTTGGAAAATTGATTTCCAAGCGTTGCTCACCACCAGCTCCGCACATCCCAATAAATACAGCAGCGCTGTTTATTTTAAGATTATCCTGCACAGCCTCCAAGCTTTGTGTCTATCTGAGGGTAAACATTGCAGAATCCTTCAGGTGGCTTCTGATAAGAAGATAAGTTGGCTTGTTAGCTTAGCCTTTAATACTTAGAAAGCGATGTTCTACTGGTAAGCATTAGATTCCCTCACATTTAGGATTATTTTGTGGCAAAGTATCTAAAAGTTATTCATATCTGGAAAACAAACAAACCTCAAAGCATCTGCTCTATATTAACACATAACTGGCTACCATAGTATGGATAAACATATTCACTTAGACTGGTCTGGTACCTTATTTTATGTAAAAAAAAATGTTTGTACAGTGCCTTTCACATCAGGAGGGCATCTTAAAACACTTCATAGTTTCTGGGGTGGAATATGTCATTGATTGAATTACCTGTCATTTTTCTGCCATCACCATCAATGTACGTGCAGTGTCTTTGCTGATCTCAGCAGCTAACTGGATTCTTCCTCTCGCTCCCCTCCACTAGCTATAATCTCACATCACCAAATGAACTGTGCTTCATGCTGTCTGGAATTTGTGTGGTCTTACTTTGAGGAATTCCTCAGTATGGGAAAAATAAATGCATTGGAGCAGGGGTGGGATAGGTCGGAGTGGTGGAATCCATTTGCGAGACTCAGTTTTTTTTAGTCAGTAAAGAAAATACTGCTAATTAGACCCCATTTGGTGAGTCACTAGTTACTAAACCCCAGTAGGCCTTAGCTTTCCAAGACTCCTGATTCTATGAACCCTTGAAGGAGAAAATTGACCCAGGAACTGATTGTACTGTGTATAGGATTGTCCTGGGCTTTAGTCTGCTGTCTGAACCCTGTTTCTATACCTTACCTGCGAGACATCCCTTTGTAGAAGCTTTACAGAGTAACATTGGTGTTTTGGTGTTAATTGAACCAAATACAAATGACTAGACTGGCAGTACAATACCTTGATTTGTGTTGATAATTAGTGGCTCCATAAATCTTGGAATATAGTTCCATTGTTCACTAGAGAAATACCTACAAATTTCCTTTCCTTGCTGTGTTGCCCTCGTCATGACATTGCCAGAGTACGGTCGTTCCTTGCTGTAACATTGACATATTAATGCCCTCTCGTATAAAAGGTGTTGCTCAGTACAATAGCACTATTTAATAGCCTAAATCTTCCTGTAATCTAGCTGCTTTTGTGGCCAACAAAAAAAATGCCATTGTAGAAAAGTATTTGATCAGCAAGTAATATAATGGTTATGTATCATCGGCGCAGATGGTTTAATTAACATTAGAATTGGCAAGCTTTTCCATTCAAATTTGCTTGAAGATAATGTAATATACAACAGCTGCATGAATTGAAGATTCCTCTGTATTTGTTTTGGCTCGTTGGTGTCCACAACAAACACTGGGTGAAAATTGGGACACGTGATGTGCTAAATATCACAACGGTAGTTACCCCATGAAATGCCACTAGGAACCCCAAAGCCTGCATCTCCAAAGGCCCCGACAACCAACATCCTGCAACATGTCTGCACCCAAAGCCAGTCTTTCATTAGAGACTGGTTCCACACGAAATATTCGACAAAGGTGATGATTATCACCTGACCTCTCACAATTATTTTTTAACCCAGTGTTTCTGATGGCAAGTAATAATCATCCCTATTGCGGTTACATTTGTTCAGGGCCTTTCATGTCAGGAGGACATCTCGAAGGCTTTGCAGGATTTACTGCGAAGTGGGGAAGTACTTGTATTCATCAGAATGTTATTTCATCAGTCGGATGTTGTATGTCGGAATGGATAGGTGGTCATGTTCAGGAAATAGACACACCGAGAACGAGACCCGAACATTCTTAAATACAACTTTAATTTTGAAGCTGTGTTTCCATAAGTCTCTTTCAAGAACGACAGAAAAAAAGGCGCGAGGTTAAGGCTGAATTCAATAATTTGCCAAATTCCAGGCACTCTGAAACACTTCATAATAGAGTAAATCTGAGACCAGGGTGGAATGTCTCTCCCATGTACCTATCAATTTAAAACACGCAAGAAAGATTGAAGATATTCCGCAGACAGGCAGCATGAACTTTGCCAACACTGGAATTTCTGTGAGTTTTTGTGGAGGGGATTTTGTTTACCATCAAACCAGATAAATCCCAGAAGCTTTCGGTTCTTTGTAAAAACGAAGTGTGGGGGAATTGGAGCCTTGGAGTATTGAGCTCCCTTTTCACTTTATTGTGTTGACTTCATCGAAGACAGATAAAATATTTGAAAAGAATTAAAGCGGGCATTGAAAGGCGATCAGAATAAAGCAAGGATACCATCTATCTCTGGCCATGGCAATGGAGATCACTAGCCCTGTGGAGTACCAGTCCTTCCTGTGTCCTCAATGTGTGTAGATTGTCATTGACTGCTTTGGTAATTGGCAATTTCCTACTGATTCTGTAGGCAGCAGTTAATCGACTCGCTGCGGGGCAAAGGAGTGGAGATTTCCCAGTCAGCAATCCCTGCGTTTTCTGCAGAAGGGTTTCACAGTAAGTATCGGCACTAATGGGAAAAAAGTGGTTATAAGACTTATGTTTAAAATAATGATAATAATCCACACTTTTAATATAGACCTTTATCACATCGTCAAGAAGTCACAGAGTGCTTATTAGAACGTTACTGTGGGGTGTGGGATGGGGGTTTGTAAGCGAATGCAGCAGCAAATTTCCACACACAGCAAGCAATGAACTGAGTGATCAATTTTATTAAGAGAATGTTGGGCAGGACACCAGAAGAACTGCCTTCTGTTTAAGAACAACGCTGTGGGATCTTTAACGTCCACCTGAATAGCAACTTGGGACTTCGGTTTAACCTCTCATCTGAAGGACTGCACTTCTGACAATGTTCCCCCAGCACCGCAATGCAGGCTCAAATCCATTACTTTCTGACTCAGAAAAGATAAGGGAATTTCTCCTAATATCCCAGACAAAGATGTTCCACATTAATTGGTTGCCCATTTTATTGTTGATTACAGGAGCTTGCAATGCTGGCTACCGCTTTTGCCTACAAAAATAGTCACTACACTTGGCAGTGATTACTTCTGGTGAAGTTCCTCCAGAACACCTGAGCAGCAGTCGATGTGCTAATTATAATCTGGTCTTTAATTTAATCAACACCGTGAATGAACACTATATGCCACATTGCAATTTTCACCCTGATACTCAACCATTGATCCTGGCATCAATGTTACATCACAACCGGGCGATTCTTAATTTCCAAATGAAATGTGGCAAAACTTCTGAAGGAGTGAATTCAAGGGCACACCTCCACCCATATGTCAACAGTGGGATGCGATGGTGGATTATTTTATTGATGCGGTGGTTATCCTGTTATTGCCTGCTGGATGACTTGACCTGCAACCCTATGAACATACAGTTCGTGTAAGCGAAAATAAAATGATCCACCTGGTTGGCACAGGTAGCCATGATAAGCTTATCACTCATTCTGTGACTATCGCCTGCCTTCGTATGTTTCAACTCTGTGGATATCCACGAGTTTGTTTTTACTGTTTGCATTTTGTAAACGCACGCTAATATTTCTCCCTCATCAAACAGAGCAATCAAGATCGTTAGCTATTTGTTCTGCCCATCAGTTAACATCAGCAGTGACTGGGCACACTGCAAAGTCTAAAGATCCACTGCAATAACTTTGACCAACATCCTATCCAGCCATTAAGCGAGTGCCTGAGCCCAGTTGTTCAATCTGTTAGGTGTGACTGTTCTCGTCGAGAGGATTTGGGGGGAGGAATAGTTATTGGGAACAAAAAGGCTGGCATCTGGGTTATAAGGTCGTTGCTGATGTCAGTTCTTGCACTCCGTGCTTTAAAAAAAGGCCATTTTACAGGTCATCAGGTTGCTGTTGATGTCACTTCCTGAGGCCGCTCTGTGCTCATGAAGTTTCAGAGAACCTATAGAAAACTGGCTTCAAAATTAAGGCTGTACTTGAGCAATTGCCAAATTCTGGATGCCCTAAAATGCTGAGGAAAATACAGTAAATCTAGACCTTATGGGTGGAATTTCTCCCTTTGTATATATATCCGTAGCCTGCTTTCCATTAGTCAACACAATGTGACATTTAAGCTTTGGAATGTGTATATTTCAGGGAGCACGAGCCAGATATTGGCCACAACAATCTCAAACTGTTTAACTATTTTTACAAGGGTAGCAAATGTGTGTGTTTTTTTAAAAAAATGAATATAACCACAGAAAATAATGGCAACTGATACTAATGACGTTTCACAGGAAAGAAACACATCTTAGAGTTTGAGTTGCATTGTTCGAGTAATAGCATCAGCAGCATCACATTTTATTTCCCCCTCCCTCAGGCAGAACATTTTCACCATTCTGGGGTCTAAGTAAAGAGAAGAGCTTTGATGTCCTTACAAACCTGGTCGCCAGTTGGCAAGCCCAATCGGTGGAGGTAAGTGACAAATGATCTACAGGTGTACTGTGTTTGCCAATGGCAGGTTACACAAGTTTAGCTAGTTAAATTCCATTATTTAAGAATGCATACTTAGCTGATAACGTGCCTACACTTTACTGGGTTAAGTGAGTGGGGTGTGTAATTTTTTTTTTGGGGGGGGAAGGAGTCCACCATCTGTACCAGGCAAAGGGAAATTTCCATGCATATGTGGAACTCTACGTCTGGCTTGGACACTCTCAAGTGATGGGTTTCTGCTTGTGTCAGACACCCGGCTGACCAAAAAAAGGAATCGACAGAGGTGGCCGATTCACGTATTATTGGTCAATAGACATGAACATTTCTGGTCAAACTTTTTTTTTTTATCCAGCTGTTAGAAGCTGTGCAAGCCTTGTTGCTTTCCGAAATCCAGAGAGTTCTGAGAGCCACGAGAAAGCCTTCCATCACCAATGGTCAGGACGTAATCAAAGGACAGAATGGAAACAGCGAGACAAAGACCTCTGTCAAGATTGAACCAAGTGAGCTCCAGGTGACACAGAAGACTCCAGGGATAGTCATGCCTGGTAAGCGCCATCCTCTTTCATATCCTGTCGTTAAGGCTGTAAGATTTCTAGATGGTGATGACCTCCTGAATGTCCCCTGCACAGTGGGGCTCACTATAAGAGACAACCTTGGCGAATGGCAACTTAACATTAGATGTGGGGCTTGTTATCAGGGACTCATTTGCCACTGTTACAGGAATCAGTGAAATAGATTCTCTGCTTCATTTCCTTCTGGACCCCGCCACAGTAACATTCCAAGGAATCAACTCATGATGCTGAGCTGCGCACCTTCTGGTTTCTTGAATCACTCTACGTTCCACTGTTTCTTTCTTGGCTTGCACTGAGTAAACGTGTCACCAGGCTTAATGCCAGTCAAAGAGAGCACCATCTTCTGGGTGGCTACAAGTTGGAACTTAGTTAAGTTAAACAATGCACAGGACAGGAGAATGGCAACTGATACACCATTGGCGGTTGGGTTTTCAGCCTCTCTGCCCCCACCCTCTGGAACTCCATCCACCATCACTCCACCTCGCCCCTCCCTTGCCTCCTTCAAGACCCTTCTCAAGACCCTCCTTCGGTTACCCTCCTACCCCTACCCTCCACGGCCTGTACCCCTCCTGATCCCAACCACCAGCTCGGGTGCGGATCCCTGACTTTCCAGCGCCTTGTGATTTCCACAGAAGTTATAGCCAGCAATAAGATGACATCTGCTAAGCATTCTTTTGAAATTCACTGCCTTAGCTTTTGGAAATGAGCCCGTGCAAAAATAATTTACACTCTACGCCCTGCCGACAGTAAAATAGATGGAATCATTGGAGAATGATGATGCAGACTAAATAAAACCCAACACAGACGCAGATTCTTCAACCCAACCTAGATCTTGATGTGTTGTTAATGCATTTTGTCAAACACTAAAGGACATGTGTAAAGTTAAATGTCTCAATGGTAGGGCACCGTACAGTACCTCTGGAGTGTCGGAAACGATAACTGACCTTCGACGTGTTAAAAACCAAAATGAATTGTGAGCAATGGTAATAGTGGAAGACATCACTAACTCGCAAGACAAAAGTTTGTGGACTGAAAAGGATTGAAAAATGTTTTCAAGCCTCTTCCGTAGACATCTGTTGACTCTCCACTTCATCTCAGTGGACATTGGCGAGTTTCAAGTGCTTCCTTTTTACCAGAACTATTATGCATATTATTCTCGTCCACCATCCTCACACACGTTCTGTAATACACACAGCAATAATTGAAACGTTTGGAAAGCAAAGGCCTAGCACAATTTGGTGCATAATCGTTTCAAATGAAATAAGAATAGACTTTAAAAAGTGCTAACAAAAAACAGTTAAACATATTGTGCAATTGTAGCAGTGCTAATTTCCTTTGCGCTGGGAATATTGCCAGTCAAACCTACACATTGTTAGGTGAAGGCCATATTCAGGGGAATCAGCATTTCCTGATAATATAGCACTCAAAACATTTCAAAGCTTTTCATCGGCAATTACTGTCCACTGGAGAAACTGTGTAGCTGGAACACGCTAGCACAGTGAGGTCCTCCAAACAGCCATCAAGTAAAGAGTCATTTTATCTGGAGAATTATTGGCCAGTACAGAACAGCAATAACACTTTTACATTAATATCAGGCTTTCATCATGTTAGGAAGACATCTCAAAGTGTTTCACAGGATTGGCTGGGGGAAACTCCCTCTCTTTTCAAATAATGTGATTGGATCTTTAACACCCACATGAACAGCAAGGTGGGGCCTCAGTTTTAACCGTTGGTTCAAAGGATGTCACTTCTGACAATGCAGTGCATCCCTGGTATTGAACTGGAATGTCAACCTTGGTTATGAGCTCAAAGATCAGACCTGTGGCCTTATTGGAGCCATTGATCACCAAACTCATCAGTGGCGTGCTAAGAGTTAATTGAGCACTTGGCACCACCACTATTGACCATTGACAATGTAGTTATCTTTACGTAAGTGGAAGATACTCTTCAATTGAAGAATAAGGAAGTCTAGCTTCAGTGTCACAGGCTGCATGTTTCATAACTTTGTTCCTGTTCGACTGCAAAGCTCCATGATGCAGTGAAGTGCTGAAGAATTGAAAGCCTGAATTTTAAAGGTTTTTAAAAAAAATCAAAGGAACAGACACTCAGTTGCTCAAAACCGAAGCAGCCAATGAACATGACATTGATAGCAGGGGGAGCCATAGATACCAATGGTGAGCTGTCCACTCACTGATCGGCTTATTTCCTCGTTGGCTGTAGAAATTGAGACAACTGATAAGTGCTGTCCAGCTGACTGCAATCAAAGATCTTTGCTCTAAATATGTCTGCTATAAATATGTCTGCTATAAATATGTCATCGCAAAATGAAGGCTACGATTTATGGATTGAGTGTATTGGTTTTCTGGGTTTGAATTAAGTTTTTATTAGGATATTAAGAACTACAGTTGGGTAAACAGTTGGGATGTACATTGGCAAATGAACATAAAGATTCCATAATGAGAGAACTGCTATTGTGGAGTTTATACCAGAAGTCATTGTAGTAGCTAATAAATATCGCATTGGGTTAACTGTGGGCACGTAAAAAGAGAGATTGTAATTACATGGTATTATATGGGAATCAATAACAACTATGTCGAAGGAATGGCATTGGGGAGTCATTTAAACTCTTTGTTCATAATCCTTTAGGTGTCTCTGAGAATACGGAGATTAATCCAAGGAAAATAAGTAAAATATCTAGAGACTTGGTTGAAAATGTTTCTGGAGAGCGCTCCCGTTTGGGGAATACGTTCATGAGGCAGTGTCGCTTTTCAAATGCAGTTTCATAGCAAATTCACAATGTTTAAAGAGCCAACCAACACTGCAGGTTTCCTCTTTCTGGTCCTGTTAAAAGATCAGTGCATGACCAAAAGACTTCTCACTGGCTGATTTCCAACGACAGCCACTGTTTGGGAATGTAATTGTCTCGCTTTTGTTTCCTGAGTTCCGTATCTACCTGCAGTGAAGTGAAGCAAGTTTTCCTTCTTTCTGAATTATTGAAACCCGCTGCCAGAGGTTTCGCAAGTAATTTCCTATTCCCTTTCACTGCAAAATCATAATAATAATCCTTGCACTTGATACAGTGCTTTATCATGTCTTCAAGACGTCTTAAAATGCTTCACAGAATATATTTTAAAGTGGATTGACTGTTATTTTGTGGGTGAAACACGGCAGCCAATTGCGTACAGCAGTGTCCTACAAACAGTAATGAATTGAGTCCTGGCCAACAAATCACGTTGTTGAAACTTCTCAAAGCGCCTTCAAAGGATGTGACTGTCAAGGTGTATTTTGCAGACAAATACAATTTTGTGTGATGGAGTCGGTGTTTGGCAATTTCCACATTATTAAAGGTCCTCAAAGTTATCGGACCTTAAACTCAGCATCATTAATTCACATTACTGTGCCAGCCGTTCTGAGGGAAGCTTGCCAATTGCTTTTGCTGTAGATTTGCATTCATTAAGAAGTGGGTTAGGATTACCTCAATTTCCCTTCACTTTGGGACCCTTGCGGGCAGTAGAATAGATACTTTCATCCCGTTAGGCTGGGCTGGCTTTGACCCCCAAGTCCCAGAGATGAAGGGACAGTGTGAAACACCCACTGCACCAACTAATCCCTTTCAATTGTACTATCGATTTTCACACAGCAAATTCCAGTCTGGCTTTGAGTTAGTTAAATAGAACAAGGGTTTTTTCTTGGGTATCCAGAACGATGCTCTCTTGACTTCTGTGGCCATTCTTAGGAATGTAAAAATTTTGGGGGCGTAATATCCCCCACCCACCCCTCTAGCTGCAATGTAGATGAGGAAAGAAAATTGACTTTTTTCTAATCTCTGTCTTGGAAAAAAAANCTGAAGCAAGCGGGTTAAATAATTGATGAAAGTATCTTGCTGTGTCTCGGGCAGATTTAATGATTTTTCTGTATTGTACAGTGCAGCACTCTCAGACAATATGCACCCTGGTTTCTCACCAGCTGTGGCATTAGGCCGAGCATATACTTTGTCCAGGTTAGTGATCGTTCACCAGGAGGGCAACTGTTCACCAAGAAATGATACACACGAGGCAGACTTTAACAAGGGCAGAATATCAGAGAGTAGCCTAAAATACCCATTTACTCTTAAACTTCTGAAATTTCTTATCCATTAGGTAAATCTTCCAAAACTCCTATTAACTTTACCACGTAGATCCTATTTGTCTTAAAATTTAAATCCGGGAAGAATTGTGAGAAAACAAAACTTCAGTTCAATCGTAATTTGTAAACTGTTTTTCCGCGGTTCCTAATGATCAAAATCAAGACTCTATTTCCTCCATAAAATATACCGTGAATTCACTTTACACTGTATTCTGTGAAGCGCTTTGAGATATCTCAATGATGTGATAAGGCACTATATCAAATGCAAAGAGATGCTGTGAAGGGTGCTATATAAATGCAAGTTGCTGCTGCTGTTTGACGAATGCTTCCATGAGAGCACCCGACTTTAAATTTTAAGACAAAAATGGCCTTTCAGGCTAAGAGTAGCTAACGTTACAGGGCTTTGAATGCATTTTTACCAACCAGCTTTTCATGTTTGCCCCTTGGCTGGGCAACTGATAGGAGTAAACGAGTTATACATTGTATGGAAAATGGCCATTAACTGCAGAGCTGCCAACATCAGGAAAAGGTGCTATTTTGGGCCCCGGAAGAGTGACACGGATTCCAAACCCACTTAAATACCCGGTGCTGTATTTTCTTTCCCAGAGAGACATACATCAAAATAGGTCAGACGTTTTAACCAAATTGACTGACTGACTGTCACTGCTAATGAGTGACATTCAGTAGATCTGTAATTCCCATTGAAGAGACTTCTTTTCAGGCTCTTTTACAACTGAGAACCTGAGATGATGGCTTGTAAAACAGACAGATAAATAAAAATCCCAATTTTTAATCCCAAAATTGTGACTTTTGTCAGAGAAAGCACTGCCGCTCGTTTCGGTGCTTCA